ACCGTCAGGAAGTGACGGCAACAATGGAATGTAATTGAATTGCAAACAGAGATAGAGACGGCAATTGAGTCAAGTTCGTGAATTGTTCGTTCGTTGTGAATTATAGCGTTTAAGTTATAGCGTGACCATGGAAATTAAGTGAATTTTAAAGTTGTATTGAGAAAGAATAAACTAGTTTTATTTAAGAAAGGACTTGTGTTGCTAAAGTTTCATCAGAAAGAAATTATACGGAAAATTAACAAACGAACAGAGGCATAACAACACAATTAGTTGGATTAACCTTTGTATTAAAAAAAATTGTCAACCTGTTTCATTGTGTGTTACTTAACTTGTATTTGTATCTTAAGAATGACATTCTGGTAATGCAAAATGCAAGGCTTAGTGGCCAATGAAAGTACTAAGAGAACTGATTAAAAAGAAGTTAATGAATAAAAAGGTCATATTATTAACAGTATGAGAAACAGTTAGTGGAAAATCTTAACACACTAACTGTAAAGACTTTTTTTTTTTAAAAGGGAAACAATGTTAATATGAGAGTTGGGCCTTTATAAATGAAGATAGAAAGATTTTGGTTATAATTGAATATTTTACTATGGAAGATGTAGGTTAATTTCACAAGTAGATTTCCCTCTGAAAGAATAACTGATATTCTTGATGAAGTTAGGATTAAGCTAGAGTTATTAGTTACAGATTAGAAAAATGAAAGAAGATAAGATACCTGAAACAGATATTTATCATAAGCTTAGAATAATGAAGGGAACATAGAGTAGGTTTATGAACTGTTTATCGTAATTTCTAATGTCTCCATTAAATGTTCTATAGTGCTGGAAGATTGGAGATTAGCCAATGTCACACTTATTTAAGGGCAGAAGTTAGACAACATACAAGTTAGTTTTACTTTGTGGTATTCTCAGATGCACTGATTTCACTGACAGTAATTGGGTAGGATCTGCTAAATAATTGGAGATTCAAGCAAAAATGCATCATATAGAAGTAAACTGTATTTACAGAATTGGCTAAATTGTGAAGAATGAAAAAGACTGAACACAGTGTAAAACAATGTGAAACATTATTTATTTCACCAACACACTGTCCAGTATTATGAGGGACAGCAACTTTACTGAGAGCTTTCAGAAAAATTGTTGGTTGAGAGTCTGTAAAAAGTTTGCAACTCAGTCTCTTATTTTGAAAGCATAGCATTATGTACTCATAACAATAATGCTATTCTTTTCCAGCACATGTACATTACTATCAATCACTTTGGTAATTTCTTTTAGAAAAATAACAGAGGTTGTAACTTCAAAGTATCACCTAATCCAGAAGTAGAAAAGATTGCTTTCTACTTTCACATAGTATGTTCAACTTTAAGAAATCTTTTCCATGAGAAAGTGCATTTTGATACTGTAGGTGAATGATTGAAACTAGAAGAAAAGAACCTAAGCCACTTCCTTGGCAAACATTCTTTGTTAAATTTACATACAGTACTATGTATGAAAGTTTTGAAGTATTTTAGGTGAACTTTAAGAGTTCACTTTACTAAATAAAGATGGTAGAAAACATGCAGCATACTACTACTTAAGTGGTTGGGAAATTACTAGAAACAATAATTTAAGAGATTCTACAATAAGTTATAAACAGTTTTCATATAAAAACAAATAGTCAACATGGATTTAGAAATGGAAGATTGTTTTTTTACAAGTTTGCTAATTCTCTTTGAAAATGTTACATTTAATGTAGGTGTGTAATGCTTGAATTTTAAGAATGCTTTTCATAACATGCTGCACTTAGGAAGATTGCATCTCTTGAGGTAGATGAGCTAATTAAATGGATGAAGATTTTAGAAGAAAGCAGAAAATTATTATTGATGGAATGAATTCATTGTGAATTAATATTGCAAATGGCATACCTCAGGTTTTGTGCTTGGTCCTCTTCTGTTTCTCACTTTCACTGATAATGGGATAACTAATAAAATGTTATATTTCCATGTGACATTTTATTTGTCATTCCACTATCAATGAAAGTGAGAAACAGCAGAGGACCAATGATATATATATATATATATATATAGAAGATGCTCTAGTTTAGCACAGAGATTTGGATTATTTGGTGAGTCTGGTGCCTGGCAGATGTCTTATTCTTAATTGATTGTGCACACATCTATTAACAAATCTCTAAAGCATTTTAGACAATGTACATTAACTAGTAATAAGGCAAACAGGATTTTAGGTTATATAAATTAAAAAATTATGAATACAAGTCATGGTCACAGGAGATCATTAGTTTCCATAATGTGCTGATTAGACCTGATTTGGAATATTATGTTTATCTATAATGAACTTCTTCAAGTAAGAATGTTATGTTTATGGGATGGTTCAGAGAATGCTTTCAGGATGATTTCAAGTTTAAAGGATTATTGTATAGGGAATAGGATAAAATCTTTTGATGTTTTTACTGTATAGTTGCAGGGCTTGGAGGGAAATGTGATTTAGACTTTAAATTGCTTGGAATCCATAAATCTAGATAATCTCTTCATTAAAACACTGTGGGCAATAAGACAAGTGGACACAAGTTTTATTTTGAAACTCTGATACAACTCCAGTTAATGCAGCTTTATTTTTCTACTAAAGTTGCCTGCCAATGAAATAGTTTGCAGTCATTTGTGGTAGACAGTAGAAACTTCAACATTGAAGGTGTTTAAGAGGAGATTGAATGAGTATTTTAGTAATAAGCATTGGATATAAAAGAAAGAAATTCTGTAGTTAGAATGTGCTAGGTTGATAGTGTTATGTATTACAATTTTGAATATCCTGAAACTGAGTTAAATGATAATTTAGACTTATAAATTAAATAAATGTTGATATCTATCCAATTTATGACACTTACCAACAAGACTGATACACACAGTTTTTTTAATACAAATATATTTTAATATACAAACAATAACACAATTTACAGTAATAGTTATTACAAGTAATTATCTATGTACAAAAGTTTTATAAACTTGCAAACAATACTTAGTCATCCATTGCTCTGGAACTTCCTTGATATTTTATCGAGGGTTCACAATGAGCGAATTAATTTTGAGTAGATATAGATGCATCTCACTTAACAGAGAGTTAGCTAGCTCTGTGTTCTTCATTCTTCGCTGGTTCGCACATGGAGTTATTCACTGCTGAAGTTATATAATGTTTTCATAAAAGTACTAATGTCCGATGTGAATCTGCTGAAGTTAAATGGTTTGTAATATTCGAAATCTATAAATGTTCCTGGTTAAATATTGAAGTTCCCGATTCATAAGTGTTATAACAATCACAGTTATGGCTTCCTAGGTTTATAGCACACCAACTCTAGCAAACCAATCATATATGTACTGTCTTTTGGCAAGTCATAATGATTATACTTATAGGCATGAGGAGAGTTTCTGAAAATTTCAGCTTGCATAACAATATAAATGATACCCCAGTATTTACGTACACATATATATTGTTGATTTTTACACTTGAATTTTCTACAATTTTAGTGAATAGGTGAGAATTTTGTAATATAGATTTAACAGAACAAATTATGTACATTTCTACATATAAGTTTAAACAAACATCAATATTAAAACATTTATGTGATAGTAAATCCATCACAATAGTAAAAAAAAGAATAGATTAGATGGGCTAAATCTACCCTCTCCCAGATTATCCCTTGGAAATAAAAATGTTAAATTTTATATTTTATAACAACAACAACAATTTTAACTACTTATCTCTTTAATATCCATCAGATAACCATCCAGTGGGATTTACTGAATACTAAAGTGGATGTTGGATGCATAAGAAACCAGTGAATGAAACATAAACTTTGATTTTTATACTGCAATGTTGTACATGCTTCTTTTCTGTCCCAAAAATACATATATATTTTCTAAATGCTTATTTTCAACAACTACTTTTTAAAGTATAAAATCAAAACATATAAAAAGCAATTATGTATATTATTACTTTAACTCTAATTTAGTGGTAACCTAATATTTGTGTATATAGGTATAAAATTATATGTTTATCCATGTATTAAGTATAAGAGTCATTGCTACGGGAATATTAATCTCACAGGGTCACAGTAACATAATGTATTAGTTTTCCCTCAAAGGCAAAACTAAACACAGATTTCGAACTAGATTACTCATGACATTACTATAATGACATAAGTACAAATCAATAAGATTATAACATTAGTAAATGATTAAATAAGTCAGGTAATAAAAATGTTTATGTGAGGCCTAGTATGATTCAATACAAATCAGTATTACTACTGTAAGCAGCCCATCTTTACCATATTCTATTGGTAAGTGGGTAGTATGCTTGACTGTGGGTCTCTATTTCTGGGGGTTCACAGTCCTTTACAGCAAAAAAGAAAAATCTTACTCTGCATTTTGGGACTGTGGGTGCATTATAAGAATAATGTACAACTCCCATTATTTAGTCTGATAAGAGTAGCCCAAGAGTTGGTGATGGGCGATGTTAACTAACATCCTTCTCTCTAGTCTATTATAGGAGGGCTAGTGGAGATAACTCTAGAGTAGCTTTGACCAAAATTAAACTAATACAAGTTCCTTTTTCAGTAAAACTACATTTAATACAACTGTTCTATGTTATTCAGAATGATTATTTAAAATTGAACAGACTTTTTACCTTTTTTCTCTCTTAGTCCTTTTCTGGTCAATAGTAATTACTTGCTTATCAGTGCTTCTTTTCTGGTTATATACATATACATCAAAATATTTATGTACTTATGTTATAACTTTCATATAATTATTTTTATGGTTTATAATTTGTTTCAGTTAAAAGACAGATCCTCAACTTTCAAAGTCCTACAACTGGACTGTTTCCTTCCCTTTCTTACGAGAAAGATGTAGCATGTGTGAGAGACAGTATATATTGTGCTGTTGCAGTTTGGAGTCTCTATCAATCCTACAAGTAAAGTATACTCAATTAAATAATTTTTAAATTATTGTGTAAAGCAAAATGTATTTTGAAGATTATATGTGAAGCTGAAAGACAAGGTAAATAAGTAATAAAAACTAATCCAGAATGAATTCATGAAAACCACAGTAAATACAATAAAAGAAAAAAATGAAATTAGAAAATTGAACATAAACTTCACAATCTTATTTGTGAAAGATCAATAACTAAAGTATTTTACTCCCTCCCCCTTTTTCTGTATGTTTTATTGAAAATGCTTTTTAATTACTTGCTTTTCCTATTTTAAGTATAAAAGAAAAAATACTTTTGTGAAAAATGTCTTATGGAATATACAACTTTTGTACACTGATAAAGTATACCCTCTGTGGCTCAGTGGTAACTCTGAAACTTTCAGTGCTCAAAACCAGGTTTCAATACATATGGCGGACACAGCACAGGTAGCCCATTTGTCAGATTTTGAAAATCTAGTGTATATATATAAGTTCTTCTTTTTGCCGGTTGTCAAAATAAATGGCTTTTACTTATATTTCTTAATAGTATAAATATATACTATGTTGTTGTTGGGCAATAAATTCAATGATGAATAAACAGCACACA